CTTACAAAACGATGTTACTTTAAATAAACTATACGCTCGGTGTACTCTACTTCTAAGTGAAAACTTTCTCTCTAGTTATTCCTTTTGCCTCAGCATGCTGACGTAAATATTCGATTTTGTCATCTATTAAAAAACCAGGTATAAGACTTAGAAGTATGATATACTCATTTGTTATTCTGTTTCCTATCATTTAGCGTTTGTATCCATGGGGTTATTTGTTAATTCACAGTCTCTTAAAATATTATTTCCAATAGATGTTGTTAAGGTAAAAGAGAAGATGTAACGCAATTTCTTATCATTCAAGGGCGAATATCACCCAAAACTTCCATTTTTGGACTACGAAAGAATAAAGATTTCGTCTGGATCAATTTATATATTTTCTCATTAAAGCTTTGTATTTAAGACTAATCAAAATAAAAAATAAACCAAATATTTTATGACAATAACTTTATTATCCCACATTCGAATAACTTGATAATAAACCGTGGGGTCTTTACTAGACATCAAATATGCTATTCACTGATAAAAACTAAACAAAATATGAAAATAGAACCCATTTCATAAGCTTAACTCCATGTGGATTCCATTCTTCGTAAATTTCTGTGAGATATATGTTATTTTTAAAGGATAATAAAACATTGAAGAAACAATTATCTTAAAATATCGGTATTAAAGAAGTGAAATTAAAAATTCTCAATAATTAAAAATGCGTTGCATCAAGATACAACATATAAAAAGGGCTGAATCAATTTAGTCGTCCCGGATTAATTCGGATAATGTAATACAAGTGGTTAAAATACTTCTCCTTACCCAGAAGAATATAAGATGCACAATTAATCTAGGCGTATATTCGAAAATCCAAAGATTATACAACTTTATCTAACAAGCCAGGTCAGTAATGAAGTCAAAGCAATAAACAATTGAATATATTTTTCTACTTCCACATTTTAAATTTAACTGTTCAAACTAAGGGCCGAATATAATAAGGTACATAAATGCGTGCGTGTATGCTTATATCGAGGTATCTTTCATATAATGATACAAGTATTTGATAAATGCCAGAATTTTTCACATTTAATTTGATGCGTCTAGTTTTTTAAAACACATGCAAAAAAATTCAACGCACCTTTAAGAAAAATGCATCCTAACATAGAAAATATGAAGCATATTTCATGAAAACCTTTTTAAAGTACTCAAGAATGAAAAAATATATTGGAAGCCCCATATGTATACTTAATATAATAGAGGGAGATTACCAGAAGCAAAAAATATCCAGATTTCAAATGTGTAGAGGGTTTGCTAAAAACTATTACCATACCGTATATCTTAAGCATGTGAGTTCTAAATGAATAAGGGGAAATTGTTAATAAAAATAATCTTATCACTATAGTTTGTAATGAGTAGCCTCACCTTTAGGGCACGATGCCTTAAAGCTGCTCTGATCATAACTCTGGCTTACTTCACAGTTGCCGACAGTTTCGGCACGAACTCTCTTTAGCACAACTCCGATTAATTAGGAAATAGTCTATGTCATAAAGAAAAATATGGCTTTGTTAGATTAACTTTTTACAAATGAACCCATAAAATATCAAGACGTATATCATGACCTCGTTTAGCTCATTCGCCACCCACACTTTTTCAGGGAGCATACATACATGGATCCTTATATGCCAACATTTTAAGGCAATAAATACGAATATAATTGGAAATTTTCTAAGTGGGGCTTTTACAGAGGGAAAAGCAATACGAATAATGGGATTCCTATCAACACCGCCTCCGTAATGGTAGTAAGGCGTGTCTTGGTTTTACAAAGAGACCAAATGCAGATCAGATTACCAGACTAGACGAGGAGCATCATAATCGAGCATTTGGTCAATCCAATTGTTTCACTATGCAAAAATTGTGATACATTTCCTCCTATTTGTGTGGCAAGATGTCGCTTAGTGCACCCTAAATTACTGCTACCACAATTACGCTAAAATTATTAAGTAATACGAACTTGAACGAATAACTATAGGTACTTTAAATTAAAGATCGAATATAGATGAGGTTTTCCAGCAAGAGTAGAACTAGTCACTTCACTGGGCTTGTGGTTCATAATAAAGCCTTTCTCAAAATGCATAATTTAAAGATGACTTTACCCGTATCAAATGAGATGCACCCTTCCTATTTAAGCGCATGTCAGCTATATATCTAAATAAGTACTTCGAGATATCTATATTTGAGCAGTACTACAAGGGGGCACTAATAGACATGATAGTTCATCCTTATTCTATAAGCATTATGCTTGAAATAAGTTATGATATGTTTTCCGCAATTAATTAAACTATTATTAATTCTATACTGACATAATTCGTCTTATTTATGTGCCCTTTCTATTCTATATTAGATAGGAATTTAAAAGTCACACATCGTTTGAATGTGAAAGCTAATTCAATAGCATTTTAGGCGTATTTTTCTTGCTGCCTAATGTGGTCTTGGAAGAAACGGCAGACATTAGCCAAGCTCAAACAAGGAGGCCTCAATATGACAGAGGACAACATGGTGGAAACCTGAGAAGCTTACAACATTTATGTACTGAAAGTATTCAGTTCATCTCACAATTAGCTTTATTACCAAGAATATGGACAGCAAATAGATAATATCTTGGATTAATTGTCACCAGATATATTCAGGTATATGAGTTTTATTCATCCTATTTCGTTTAAGATGATGAAGTATTGGTGGTTGATTTTTCTCGCAATGATATAAGTAGAGTTGAGATTTCCATTGAATTACATATAGCCTTGGTTTACCAAAAGGTGTTCCCATCCAGGATGGACTGCAGTTTCGACTTCGCATAGGTCTTAGCAACACTCAAAACAGGAGTCGAACAATGAGTGTGCAGCATGCAAGCCCAACGCGTTAACCAATACGCCACAATTTCAAGGTATATTCACGCCTTACCCAGAAGAGACGCCTCATCAACAAAAAGAATTTATATGACCTTCATGTTAATAACAATATATTTAAAACAGTATGTAGACTAATCAGGCTCAGTAGTCTCTATAACTTATTGTCGAGAATGTTATGCCTACGGCGAAGTTAGTGAGGCTGATAAATATTGTTTACACACAACCATTATAGTTAGCCCCATTTGGTAGCAAAGGACACCCAGTAACGATACTAAGCTTTGCTAAAGAAATGCCCAGAACAATTTAGTTCAAAATGTAGCAAAGCATTATGAGTAGACGATAGATGTTATCAGCAAAGCAAAATATCTAGACCATTCATACGAGAAAAGCAAAACGCACGTAGTATATATCTGACTTCAAGACATAAGCCCCAAGGGAGGAGGTTTCACTAACGAAGCATTATGAGGATAGCGTAACTTGTTGTCCGCCTTCTCGCATGTGCATGTATGTATGGATTTTATTGTGAAATAAATGCCAAAAATGTTAAAACATTTATTACTATCA